TCTGACGTTCTTCAACAGCTACCTGATGGTGATCTGTTTGGCTAAACGCAGTTATTCTTAGGAGCTCATATACACAAAACAAAAAGTTTCAGACTATGAAATGAGGTTCCCAGCATTTTAGAAATCACCTGGATTACTGACTCCCACTGCTTGTTTTTATGAGAAATTAAATTTATCAAGAAAAGCACAAACTTGCCTTGCCTTATTTAATCTGTATTTGAGAAGTTCCCGTTTACTTCCGTTTTAATGAATCTACTTGAATTGGCTTCTGGTTTGTATCAGATGTTGCTTTGGAATGTTTTGCAAGGAAGTTATATTTTTTGAAGAAAAACAGTCTTTGTTAAATACCGTAATATCACTAAATCAGGCAGTTTATCTCCAACAAGTAACAGACTCAGACAATTTAAAACATCCTAAGTAAAGGCCTTTCTGTAAAACTTTGAAAAACACAGAAAGGTGTTTGTAAGAATGTATCAGTGTTAAAATTTATGGTATACCTTGTAACTTGATCTTTCTTATAGTTTAAACTATAGTCTTTTTAAGGATTGAAATACGAGAATAAGTTCTCAGAAGGTTGTTATTAAATAATTTGAGGAGATAATCCTAATGTATGTTTAATCCATCTCACATCCCTGTTTACAACACATGTGTCTAGAGTCCCCATGAGGAACCTCCCATGACAGAGGGACCAACAAAATTCCTTTGTTTTGTTGACTGATTCCTTCCTATATGAACTTCTTTCTTCTCTGGGATATTTTTCTTTTGACCATGGTGACAGAACAAAATTATATGCATGACAGAAAGTGGTGGCACAGAAGGATCCCAATAATAGAGCCACTGGGAGGTGGGCAAAGGCACTGCAGTCGGACAGTGTTTTAAGCCTGCTCCGCAGACTCTTCTTACTTAGAACCAAATTTAACTACTACCGCCTTTGCACCTGTTTGTTCATCTGTGAAATAAAGATAAGAATATCCACCTTGAAGAGTCAGAACCACATTCATTTAAAAAGTAATTACCATTTTCTCCCAGATGCCCTGGCTCTACCGCTTCGCTGTGCCATCTTTAGCAGGTTACTTCACTTCTCTGTGCTTTTTCCCCCCCTCATCTGTAAAATGAGGCTGTTACTATAGCTCTCTCTCATTGAGAGAGAGGATTAAGAGACCTATATGCAGTTTCAGAACAATACATAGGACATGGTAAGTGCACAATAAATATTTCATACTGTTCCGATAGTCATTTTTAAAGCAGTATTAATGGTGGCCAGTAAACAATTATGTATTGGGCTTACAGGCCAGCAGGGGAGAGAGCCCCCAAATACCAACAATGTTGTCTGACAGGAGCTATCACAGAGAAGAAAAGGGAAGGCGAGGGAAATATGGAGGGCCCTGTGTAAACCTGAAACACTTGCCGCACTGAAGCCCTGGGCTGAGCAAGAGGGAGGTGGCTGAGCATGGTTGGGACTCGGGACCACAGGCGGGAAGAAAGACAACAGGGAGCCTTTGAAATGCTAAGTTCAAGGACAAGGGGAGGGGAAAAGTGAAACCAGAGGGTCAGATAGAAGAAAGCCCACAGATCGCCCTGCAAACCTTGCTGGGATTTGCGATGATTTTAACCTGACAAGCCTGAAAAGAGATTTAAGTGGGAAACAGAAGAGTTTCCTTTGCGAGGCGTGGGCCTTTGAAAGACTCCATTGAAGAGGCAGGACTGGAGGCTGGCGACCCGGTAGGAGTCTGCAGCGAGAAACCAGGTCCAGAGGGGCGGGACTTGGCCCGGGTCTTGGTAATGAAGAGGGGCGTGGGGAAGAGGAGGTGTCTTTGTGAACTGTGGAGGGGCTGACTTCACATACCAGCTAAGTGTATTGGTGTTGTGGACATACTCATTTATTCGATCCTCTAAATTAGGTTGTAATAAAATTGGGCCAGCAGTGGAGGAGTGTCCATAAAGTAGCAAAATATTTACTTGACATATGAAGAGCCTGTGAAAGATGCTGTGTGTCCTTGATGCCTTTGCTGAAATTAACTAACAAGAAGATGCTCACAGGCCCTGAGGGGGATCCTGGGGCAGAGGCTCCATTTGCAGGACCTGAGGGGCAGAAGGTCCAGGACTGCCAGCACTGCCAAGAGAAGGAAGCCTAGGAGTCCCCCAGATCTCGTGGTGTCAAGCTGACTTCCCAACCCAGACTTGCTTCGCCTGTCCCCATGTCTTGCCTTTTCCCATATTATGTTTGTTGTTTGTTTTATTCCATTTATCAGTGATGCGTCATTGACATACAGTGTTAAATTAGGTGTACAGCATAGGGATTCAACAATTATATCCATTACTCAGTGCTCACCATGGTTAAGTGCAGTTACCATCTGTCACCTTATGAAGTTATTATTACTGTATCATTGACTATATTCCCCATGCTGTTTTTTCCATCTCTGTGACTTATTTATTTTATAACTGGAGGTTTGTACTTTCCTACAGTATTCTGATGACAAGCACATCACTTAGGGTGTTTTAGGTCACACAGACCAGAACACTTACTTCTAATGGCTTTTAAAAAGGAGAAATTGTTATTTCATGTAACAAAAAGTCTGTAGGGCAATTGTTTTTGTTTAGTGGAGTGTCTCTACAGCTTTCCCAGCAACATGGGTTCATACTTTTCTACCTTCAGCTTTCCTCCTCAAGCTGATCCCCTCGTGATTGCCAGCTCCAAATATCCTGTCCTTGCATAGCAACATCTGAGGAGAGAGAGATAGAATGACCAGTTTTTTTGGCACTTGTTTAGAGTGGAAAAACCTTCCCCCAACACTGTGCTGCCGTTCCCCTTACTTCTCATGGACCAGAACATCATCTCATGCCGATGTCCCAAATTAGTCTGGCAGGTGAATAAGTCTTCGGAAGCTGGGGCAGAGTTGGGTCCAGGCTCTGCCACAGTGCTTGGCAGCCAACACCTGAAGGGAATCCAAGCGCTGGAATTAAGAAGGGGATAGACCAAGAGCAGGGAGTGCCACAGCAGGCCTGATGATAAGGTGGCTACTGGCTGAGGTTAGACCACAAGTCCTGTTTGACCCAGACTTGAGAGTTGTAAAGAAGATTTCTTTTGTGGTCTAACAGCACAACTTGAATGGTTGTACTTATGCTTTCTAGATCAAAAAAATGCCTTCTCTTTTCCTTGGTGGTGCTTAATCCTGGGGAGTTAATAACCACAGTTGGATCCATTGAGACCTCTGGGTCCTCTGCCCCCAAGGAAAAAGCACTCATGAATTCAGACATACAGAATTTTACTTATGATTTTAGGGGGTTGTGAACTTCCTGAAGCTCACTCACAGCCCAGCTGGAGGCGTTCTGGTCAGGACCCTTCAGGGCCCACTAAGCCCTTTGCAGTCATTGAAATGGAAACAAAGCTGCTGGCTGAGACCCAGTCATTCCTGATACCCACATCCCTGTAAGAGGCTTATCCATTGAGGCAACTATTCAAGTTAGACCCCTAAATTGCACAAGATAATAACTTTTTCACCTTTTTAGTGGGTACTTAAAGCATTTTCATACTCCCTCCATCAATGTTATGAATGCTCTTTCCAGAAATGTGTTAAGTGAAATGACCTCTATCTCCTGACAAAATGCCAATAGAAACAATTTAGATGTAACAAACAAGCAAAAATTCCTCAAAGCCCCTTTACTCAAGGTTCTCTAACTTCTACAGATGAATCAACTTGTGTTTACAGAAAGCTATATTGATAGGTCACACTCACCAGGCTCACAGTGTACTTCAACATGTTAGTTTTGGATTTATACCCTTGGCTTTTAATGAGCCTCATCTGGCTGGTTGACCATCTGATGACTTAAATTCATTATCTGTCACCCTGAGGTGCTGGAAGCTCAGGGAACCAGTACAGGAAAATATAGGTTTCCCTGATAGTCCTACTGCAGTAAAGTCCTTTGTCTCTGACCCAGCCATCTTGTGTCTTCTGTCAGTATGCATGACACTGACTGGATGAGTTGTTAGCCTCTGAGCAGGGAAAAATCTCAAAGTTTTCACAATTTTTGACTAGTACTCTTCATTTGGGGAGCCACGTATGATCAGAGAATTTGTTGCCTGTGAAAAACTATCCTTTCAATCAACTGGTAAATGCTGGTATGAAAAGTCCATTTTCTTCTGGTAAGTGCTAAATGAATTAATAGCCCAAAATGTGGCTAACATGGACTATTATGGTGTCTAACCACTATAAATAATTATTTCTTTTAAAAGATGTAACCCAAATGCTATAGGCTCTGTCTTTTCAGAACAGGAGTTCAGTGCAGCTAGGGTCTTCAGGGAATCTACAAAATAGGGCTTGGGGGAGTCCTCCTATGGCAGCAGCTTTGGAGCACTCCTCATGTAGTTGGTTCACTGAGAATTCTCACAAACAAGGTTTACATGACTCCTCAGGTAGTTGGTTTACTGAGAATTCTCACAAACAAGGCTTACATGACTCCTTGAAAGAAAGACCTAGGTCCTGGTGAAGTGCCAGGCATAGATCCAAGATGTGGGAATGATGAGGGCAGAAACTCAGAAGGCAAAGAATATCAAATATGGACTCCAACAATGGGGCACCAGCAAACGTTCCAGCTGTACAGACTTCTATAGAAGCAGAGGCTAGACAAGGTTGTGAGTGTGTCTGATTTAAGAAATTTCTGTTCAGAAAAACTCTGTGAGGGAAGGAGGGAAGGAGGGAAGCAGGATGAGGTTGAGGGAAAGAACCAAGAAAGGTGTGGTCTTGGTTTAAGTCTATCCTTGGTCTGATCTTTGGCAAGGGAATGGGTGGATTGCCTCCAATGAGGCAAGTGTGCTGGCTTTGGTGAGGAGGACATGTAGGACACATACTTGCCCCCTTTCGGGTAATATGGCTCCCATTGGCTGAGGGGCAGTTCTCTAGAGAACCATAGCAGTGAGCTGTTGGGAACAACCAACATACCCCCAGCAGGTTGGGGAGATATATAGATATATATAGATATATATATCTATTTTGTTATTGTTGTTTTATTTTTATTTCATTATTAGCTAGAAAGACTTTCCAATTGGCAAGTGTAATTTCTTCCAAGAATTGCCCCAACGTGATCTCAAAAGTCCATGTTAACTCCTTTTCTGGAAACTTCCTTTTCTCAGTTGTTGTATTCCTGAAGAGCCTGGGCCATGAAAAGTTTGCCTAAGTTTTGGGCAGTGAACTCCTTGATGTTCTGGCAGTAAGTGTTAATCTGGCCTGCAATGAGCAGAGAATCCATCCTGGCAGGCGGCTGAGGGGGTTTGAAAAGTTTGGACAGATCCTCCTCAGGCAGCGGGGGTTCCCCTCTACTCTGGCGCTGCATGTTCTCCTGCTGGCGACGCTGCTGATACTGATGTTTCTGCTGCTGCTGTTTACTCGTGTTCCTCATGTATGTGTTATATTTAACTATATCTTGGCTCATTTCATCCACTCTGTCCATCAGCAACTGTAGATTCTTCCCCAAATGGTTGCTGCTAGCAAGACTAAGCAATTCATGTTTATCTGCTACAGCTGACTTCTTCTCAAGCTCCCACATTAGGACGTTGATCAGATGTGAATATATATCTATATATCTCCTGGTAAAGGAGACAGCCAGTGAAGGGCACCAACAAAACCTACCATCTACTACAGCAATGATGATGTGTGAGGGGGTCAGCCAGTAGGGACTGGCAGGGGATAGGACAGCATGGAGTCTGTGAGGTCATACTGGAGTTACATGGTGATAGTAGATGATGGTGGGTCACTGCTGTGCTTGATATTGAGAACTGGGGGACTCTCTGTACTGACAGTATCTACAAATGGTCTCTTTCAGGATTAAAGTCAATTAGTACCTTATTCTACTTTGTTATGCTTTCTGCAACTCTGGAATTCTAACTTACATGGAATTGTGGTGTTCATGTCTCCCCATGTTCATTCAAAAGGAACATGAGTCAGCTGATCTCTACAGTCCAGGAGAACATGCACCCAGATCTTTTCTTAAGACTTAGCAATGTGGTTTACCATGGAACAAAGAAGATTGACTAGTGCCCAGCATCTTTTTCCTGCTGATGGGAAAAATACAAGTAAAGAAATGAAATTACCTGGTTACAAATTCAGCAAAAGTAGGACAGCATTGGGCTGAGCTTCTTGGCCACCGGTATATCTTTAAAATTTTGTACATAATGTAGCCACCACCATGTCTCTGGAGATACCATGTCCTTCTAGTCACCAAGTTTTCTTTTTTTTTTTTTTTTTAACAAATTCTCAAGTGAAACTTCATTCAATTTATACACACTGGGGTTTTGGGGAGTCTAAGAGAAGTATCATTTTGCATGTCACAGGTCAGAAGTGCCATGTGAAGAGGAGTTAAGAGTCAGCACCAAACCACATGAGCACAAACTTGCTGCTTTAGTTCCAGACATCTTTAGACCAGGAAATTGCAATGAATCCCATGGGGATTGAGTTCTTTTTGAGAAGTAATCATTCCCACTGCGCCACAAGAAGTCCCTAGTAATGGAATCTACTACTACTAAGTATGTACTAATTGCTCACTTGACATTCTGCAGAACAAGAAACTCATAGAAGATTTCAGCTTTTTTCTAGAGTAGAGTAACAATGGCCAGCACTATCCTCCACCTGCCACCCAACCTGGACCATTTGAAATTGGATCCAAATAATGTCCTATCTACAAGGAATCATCTCTACAATAAATGCAGTAGCCCTGAATGGTCATTAGAAAGTATCACTGGGGCTGAAAGGCAGCGAGGGAAATCCCAGGTCATGTGTAGAGAAAAGGATAGTTCTGAGTGATTTAAATTTGGGAGATTTCAAGTTGCAGGCTTGTATATCTCCCATGGTCTTTCGAACATACCTGTTCTCTCCTTGGCTGTATAAACACTTCTTCTCCCAGAAGAAGAGGGGATTTTACCATTGGGTGAGTAAATGTTAATTTAGTTCCTTGAAAATAAAAGACAAGTTATACCCTTAAGGGGTCTATCAAAGCAGCTGAATATTTTGGAAAGAAATTCCTTCTTTTTTTTTTTTTTACCTTATTCCTTATTTTCTTTAAAAAAATTATTATTGAAGTATAATGGACATACAATGTTATATTAGTTTCAGGTGTACAACATATTGATTTGATAATTCTATACATTCTTTAGTGCTCACAATGATAGTGTAGTTATATCTGTCACCATATATTATTGACTATATTCCCTAATCTGTACTTTTCATAAATGTGACTTATTTATCTTATAACTAGAAGTTTATATCTCTTTTTTTTTAAGCTTTTTTTTTCTTTCTTTCTTTTTCTTTTTTTAAGTAATCTCTACTTCCAACTGAGTCAGCCAAGTGCCTCTGGAAGTTTGTACCTCTTAATCTGCTTGATCAATTTCACCCATTCCCTGACCTGCCTCCTTTCTGGCAACCACCAGTTTACTCTCTGTATTTAAAAGTCGGCTTGGTATTTTGTTTGTTTGTTTAGTTGTTTTAGTTGTTTTGTTTTTTAGATTTCACATATAAGTGAAATCATATGGCATTTCTCTTTCTCTGATTTATTTCACTTAACATAATACCCTCTAGGTATATCTTTGCCACAAATAGCAAGATTTCATTACTTTTTATGGCTGAGTAATATTCGTGTGTGTGTGTGTGTGTGTGTGTGTGTGTGTGTGTGTGTATGCCACTTCTTCTTTATCCATTCATCTATCAATAGACACTTGGGCTGCTTCCATATCTTGGCCATTATAAATAATATTGCTATAAATATAGGGGTACCTATAACTTTCTGAATAAGTGTTTTCATTTTCTTTGGGTAAATACCTAGTAGTGGAATTATTGAATCATATGGTATTTCTATTTTTAACTTTTTGAGGAACTTCCATACTGTTTTCCACAGTGACTGTGTCAGTTTACATTGCCACAAATAGTATGTGAAGATTCCCTTTTCTCCACATCCTTGTCAATACTTGTTACTTCTTGTGTTTTGTTAACTAGCCATTCTGACTGGTGTGAGGTGATATCTTACAGTTTTAATTTGCCTTTCTCTGCTGATTGGTGATATTGTGCATCTTCTCATTGTCTGTTGGCCAGCTGTATGTCTCTTTTGGAAAAATGTCTATTCAGGTCATCTGTCCATTTTTAAAATCATATTTTTTGGTGTTGAGCTGTATAAATTCTTCATATATTTTCAATATTTACCATTTGTTGGTTGTATTGTTTGCAAGTATCTTCTTCCATTCACTAGGCTGCCTTTTTGATAGTTTCCTTTGCTAAGGAAACTTTTTATCTTGATGTAGTCCCAAGAGTTTATTTTTGCTTTTTATTTCTCTTTCCTGAGGAGACAGATCTAGAAATATGTTACTAAAGCCCATGTCGAAGAGATTACCACTTATGTTTTCATTTCGAAGTTTTATGGTTTCAGGTCTCACATTTAGGTCTTTAATCCATTTGAATTTATTTTTGTGTATGGTATGAGAAAGTGGTCCAGTTTCATTCTTTTGCATGTAGCTGTCCAATTTTTACAATTATTTATTGAAAAGATTTTTTCTTGATTGCATATTCTTGCCTCCATCATTATAGATAAATTAGCCACATAGACATGTGTTTATTTCTGGGTTCTCTACCTTGTTCTGTTGATCTATGTCTCTATTTTTGTGCTAATACCATACTGTTTTGATTACTATAGCTTTGTGGTGTATGTTGAAATCTGGCATTATGATACCTCCAGCTTTGTTCTTCTTTCTCAAGATAGCTTTGGCTATTCGTGGTCTTTTGTGATCCCATACAAATTTTAAGATTATTTATTCTAGTTTTGTGAAAAATTCTATTGGCATTTTAATAGGAATTGAATCTATAGGTGGCCTTGGGTATACTACTTCTCATTTTGGCAATATTAATTCTTCCAATCCATGAGCAGGACCTATCTTTCCATTTGGTGTCGTCTTCAATTTCTTTCCTTGGTGTCTTATAGTTTTCAGAGTATAGGACTTTCAGATCCTTGGTTAAATTTATTCCTAAGTATTTTATTCTTTTTGGTGCAATTATATATGGGATTATTTTCCTAATTTCTCTTTCTGCTACTTTGCTAGTATTGTATAGAAATGCAACAGATTTCTGTATATTAATCTTGTCTCTTGCAACTTTACTGAATTCACTTATTAGTTCGGGGAGGGTTTTTTCTTTGGTTGAGTCTTTAGGGTTTTCCATATATAGTATAAGTTATCTGCAAATAGTCAGTTTTACTTCTTCCTTACCAATTTAGATGTCTTTTGCTTCTTTTTATTGTCTGACTGCTGCAGCTAGGACTTCCAGGACTATGTTGTGTAAAAGTAATAGGAGTGGACATCCTTGTCTTTTCCTGACCTTAGGAGAAAAGCTCTCAGTTTTTCCCCATTAAGGATAATGTTCATTGTGGGTTTTTCATATCTGACCTTTATTATGCTGAGGTATGTTACCTCTAAGCCTACTTTGTTGAGAGGTTTGTTGTTGTTGTTGTTGTTTTTAAATCATGAATAGATGCCAAGTGCTTTTTCTTCATCTACTAAGGTGTCCATATAGTTCTTAGCCTTTCTCTTGTTAATAAGATGCATTGCATTGCTGATTTTGTGACTGTTGAATTACCTTTGCATCCATGGAATAAATCTCACTTGGTAATGGAGAACGATCCTTTTAATGTATGGCTGTATTCAGTTTTCTAATAATTTGTTGAGGACTTTTGCATCTCTGTTCATCTGAGATATTAGCCTGTAGTTCTCTTTTTTTGTTATGTCTATCTGGTTTTGGTGTCAGGGTAATGCTGGCCTCACAGAGTAAATTTGAAAGTTTTCCTTCTTCTTCTACTTTTGGGAGTAGTTTGAGAAGAATAGGTACTAACTCTTTAAATGTTTGGTAGAATTTACCTGTGAAGTCATCTGGTCCTTGACTTTTGTTGGTTGGGAGTTTTTGATTACCAATTCAATTTTGTTACTAATAACCAGTCTGTTCACATTTTGTGTTTCTGACTCATTCAATTTCAGAGATTTTATGTTTCTAGGAATTTATCATTTCTTCTAGGTTGTTCAATTTGTTGGCATATAATTTTTCAAAATATTTTCTTATAATCCCTTATAGTTCTGTGGAGTTGATTATTGCTTCTCTTTTGTTTCTGATTTTATTTATTTGGGTCCTCCTTTTTCTTGATGAATCTAGCTAAAGGTTTATCAATTTCGTTTATTTCCAAAGAAGCAGCTCTTGGTTTCATTGATCTGTTGTTCTACTTTTTAAAGTCTCTGTTTCATCTACTTCTGCTGTTCCTTCTACTAACTTTTGGCTCCTTCCTTTATTTTCTTTAAAGAAACAAACATTAATCAAATAATCAGCAAATAGAAAATGTAAATGGTGATGAGTGCTGTAAAGGAAAATGTAGGGAGCCACAGATGTATTTACCTAGGTTTGGAATCCAGTCTAGGAGTGTAAGGAAAGCTTCTGTAAGGAATGGCCAGCAAACTGAAATCAGAAGGATGAATGAAAGTTAAGTGGAGCAGAGCAGGAATTCAGCAAAGTCCCTGAGGCAAAAATGAAAAAATGAAAGCAAGTGCTTGGGTGGGAAGAGGGAGGA